GAAGCTTCTACATGTTTGCGGTTTAAGAAATCATCATTAATATTTGGTCCCTGTAAATAACTCTGCATGATGTCACTTGTATCACTACTATGTGGGATGGGAAAAGCATCTGGTCCATCTTTAGAGGGTGAGATTGTAGAAAGCACAAGGGGACGAAACTGTGAAGGAAAGTAGCCTGCAGACTTATCGGATCGTGGTACTGGTGGCTTTAATTGGGGAAATGCTGTGGACAGGGACGATGTATGATCAAGTGCATGACTAGCTAAAACTGAAATCTGCAGTGATGTGCTAAGTGATGATTTGGAATTGTTTTCCAAATCTCTGGTTACAGGGCGAGGGATATTCACACTGGGCTTATCCACACCTTGGATAAAAGAATTTAAATTATCAACTGCAGGTTCAACAGAAAAATTATGATTATCCGATAAGATGCCTTCAGAATTATTAAACACTAACTGAGTTGTGTTCCTTATGTCTTTTGATATCACCACAGCACTATTATTATCTTCAGTTGCAGAAATTTTTCGTACACCATTAATTGACACAGTTGTTCCTTCAGTTGCAGATAAGTTTTGGTTTTCACCTCTAATTTCAGAAATTAAAGCTGATTTTAAAACAGGTACACTTTCTTCACTATCACTCACAACACTCTGTTTTCCAACAGTCTGGGTGTCAGGGAACTGGGAACTGCCTGCACCTAACACTTGTGAAAACATATGCTCGTCTGTAATAGGTGGGTCCAACAGCACATGTCTCTCGCTTGCAGTAGAGCTATCAGGCGGACCCGAGGTATAAAACAAAAATGGTTGCACACCACGGGACAGTCCTATCTGATCAGTTTCTGACTTTAGATATGTACTGATACTAGGTTCTGGGATGGCCTTGCTGGATGGGTCTATTGTTTCCTCTCTTTGGATGCCTGGTACACTCTCAGTTGGCCACAACAAAGAACTGGATGAAGTGGATGACTGGCGCAAGTCCTGTGTACCCATCCACAAGTCTGTGTTGTAGGCAGAAGGTATGTGATGGCCTGCTTTAAGATGCAAGAGCAAATCCGTGATGGTGGAGTCATCATGATCCAGCTGTTCATGGAATCTGTATTGTGTTGGCAATGTATAAGGGCCCAAAGGAAGGGCAACTACAATTGAAGACACCAGCAGGAGTGCTGAAAATAAATCAATGTAGATTTAGTGAGACACCATGTCATGAAGATGTACAACAGAGCATGAATAAAGTCCCACACATTCTTAACCTCAATGCTAGATGTAGGTGAATCAACTTAGTGCAGTGATTTTCAAACTTTTTACTTCTGAGCCCCCCCTGACAAGAGAATATACTCTCAGGCCCTCAGCCTGTTTTTTTTTTATCAAAATAGAAGTCATGGTATGTTTGACGTTTTATTCAGTTTATTTTTTTTTCATACTATTTAGCAGTTTTTTTTTCTCAAAATTAAAGTATCACAATATTAGGCATACAATAGAAATTAGTTTTAACACTTGCAACTAACCGAAATATGTATTGAAATGGAACGATATTTAACTAACAAGTATTTAATTTTTTTCTGCAAAGAAAATCAAACATTTAAATGTCAAAGTTCAGTGTGATGGATGGGCCTGCTTTTGAGAACAAAGTTTATCAAAACGTGGTGTAATATCAGAAATGGCCACTCTAACTTCTTTAGCAATATTTAGCCTTGAACGATACTTTGACTTTATAGCTGCCAAAGCAGAAAAGCCTGTCTCGCATAAGTAAGTTGTTGCGAAAGGAATCAGGATCTTCAATGCTTTTTGGCTCAAAGTTGGGAATTCCTTGCCAATATGTATCCAGAACTCCAACAAAGACAATTCCTTAAATTTACTTTTTAATGAAGTATCACTAGTGAGATCGATGAGTTGTTCTTGCTCATTTACATTCAGAGATGATGGCCCAGGAGCATTTTCGAATGGATTTTTAATCCAATTAAATTTATCAAAATCATTGCAAAAGTATTTTTCGAAATGAACTTTCAACATTATGAGATGATCAAGTAGGCAGCTTTTTATGTCCACTGGAAGCACTGGATTATCAGTGTCTTGTACCATTGACACCAGAGTAGGGAACATGTCTAGCGTGCCATTTTCCATACTGTTTCTCCAGAGCTCTAATTTTCTCTTGAATGCCTTCACTTTGTCATTCCAAGAAAGTACAGTTGCCTCATTCCCTTGAAGTGAAGTGTTGAGGATATTTAGTTTTTCAAATATATCTGTGAGGTATGCCATTTTCAATAAAAAAAATCCTTGTTGCTGAAACTGTCTGCCAGTGAATGATTTTCCCCATTTAAAAACAGAACACCTCATGCCTCAGCTTAAACATTCTCATTAATACCTTGCCTCTTGAAAGCCATCGAGCATCACTAAAAAACAACAGAACAGTGTGTTCGGCACCCATTTCCTCACACAGCATTTCAAAAAGCCTAGACTTCAGAGGATGCGGCTGCTGCTGAACTATCAACGTTGTCTCTGGGATACATGTTTCATAATTGCTGGTAAAGAGAATAATTATTAGTTATTTTGAAATTCATGATAATTAAAGCCTGTACTCATCAAAAGTTTTTCTATATGTATTTTTATTTTTTGTTACTTTTCTAATTGATTTAGGGCAGTTTTAATTTGTATCTGTAGGAAAGTATGCTGCGTCCCCCTTTCAAGCCCTTCGCCCCCCCCCCGGGGGTCGCGCCCCACAGTTTGAGAACAACTGGCTTAGTGCTTCGGTCATTCTACTACAAGAGAAAGAGATGTTGGTACCCACTGGATAGGAGTCTGGGTGGGTCCCACTGTGGGTATGGATGTGATGGAGAAAAGTCCTTGCTTCTGCCACAAATTTAAGCCCAGAGATAAAAAGTGTACTTATGTGGACAAACGTGGCTTGCAAATTAAGAATTAATTCAATGTACTTTGTGCAAAGAATGGATAATACATTAAAATGTGAATATATTACAGGAATTCATACACATACCTACTTGTGGCCTCTACAGTATCCTACCACTAGTCCCAATCCTGAGCCAAATGAAACCAGTTTATTTACCTCCAATCCCATTTAAGATCTATTTTAACATTATCCTTCCATCTACACATAGGATTTTGAAATAGTATCTTTGTTTCAAGTTTTCTGACAAACATTCTCCATTCCTCAAGTTTCCTTTATGTGACACATGTTCCTCCAGTCTCATCATTGAGTCAAGTGAGACTGAGTCCACTTGGTACTGCGGCCACTACTGGCCTATTGTACCAGCCCCAGATGATAGGTGAGGGTGACTGTGGAGCAATTGGTGGAATAAGATTGGCAGAGGAAACTGAAGTACTCAGAGAAAACTTGCCCCACCACAACTTTGCCCACCACAAATCTCACATGATCAGACCTGGACCAGAACCCAGGCCGCCGTGGTGGGAAGTCAGCAAATAATTGCCTGAGCTATGGCATGGCCTTATCATACTCACTGATTGGTTGTCCTAATGATTTTTCGTGAGGAGTGCAAACTATGGAACCCCTCATTACACAACTTTCTCCAGTCACTCATTACATCTTCCCTCTCAAGCCAAGATATTGTCCTAAGCAGTCTGTTTCCATTTGTGATCTCCTAATGCACGATCATGTGCAAGTCACCAGGTAAAAATAGAATTTTATATAGTTTCATCTTCATGTTTCCGGATACCAAATGAGAAGAAAAATTATTCTGAAGTGAATGGTAGGAAGGATCCCATTTCTATATGAATGCAATTCTGATTCATTCTGTTATACTTTGTAGCTCACAGAACCGTGCATGTGACTACAATGATCTTATATTTTCCTGATGCTATAACACACAAAAGAACGGAAAATCACTGGCCACCCAAATGATCATTTATGCATTGTCTTCATTTCTGACATCATCAATCAGGGCTGTAGTTGAGTCAGGACAATCCAGAGCGATACCCCAGTGCTTTTGAGTACCAGAGCACCAAACTAGAACTTCTTTTAAATATAAAAATGCTACAGTTCATATAACATTACAGATTTTCATGACAGATTAGTGCCTCCATCTTACAGCTCATTTAATTTCAGAATTGTGAGATGGAGGCATCAGCTCCATTATGTATGTGTGTTTTGTAATCTGTCTTTCAATCCTGCATTTAAAAGTGTAAAGCTATAATCAAGTAACAATGACAATTGTCTGAACTCATCATTTATACCCATTTCTTTTGAAATGAAAGAGCGAATGTTGGACTGCCCTGAAACTTCATATGGTGCATAGCTGCCAAATTTCATGCACTGTAACACTAAGTCCCAAAATTTACTGCCTCAATCTCATACAGTACAGCACTCATGGAACATTACACTGCTGCAACACAAATTCAAGTCCTTCCATATTTCTCTTTCTTAAGCACACTGGAATGATGGAAGCATTTCTCATTGCAACAGTTTCTGCTATCATTGCTAATATTTGTTTTCCTGGAGGAGGGAAAGATAAGAGATAGGCAGGCAAAATGCGATCAGGGACCGGACTGATAGAAACCATAAAAAATACTGGGAATCCATAATTGGACTCAAACAGGCAAAGGGTTTTATATCAGGCCCCTCGACAATGTATGAAGGAAGGATCTGTTGAGATTAAACAGAGATCAACTAAGATGGGTGGTAGGATTACTTACCGGACACTGCCACCTGAAAGGACACTTTTTCAACTTGGGACTGACAGATAACCCAACTTGTGAAAGGTGCCTACAGGAAAACGAATCAGCCGCACCCATACTGAGTGATTGTGAGGACACAGCTTATTTAAGATTTCATCACTTGGGTCAATATTTTATGGAACCAAATGACTTTTATGACACCCCCATAAGCAGGGTCCTACACTTTATTAAAAGTGTAGGATTAATAATGGGCTAATCCAAGGGGAAGTACAATAGATCACTGAAGGTCACAGTGCAGGAGCCGGTTTTTATGGCCCACCCCTTACATACATACATATATAAATACATACATACATACTACTAAATGACAGTAGAATACAAAAATATTATTTTTTGTAAATTCCAATAAAATCCCATTACAATATATCCGAAATATATACCCAGAATCCGTGGTTCCAGAATCAGTATTTCCCATCTTTACCAAACACTGAGAAGACGTCTGCAAGACGCCTCCCTGCAGAAGTAAATATTTTAGTCAAAATATTTTACTTGTAAACACTGCTGAGATCACAAAGTGTCTTATACATCAGGACCCATGGTACCTACTTAGATCTTGCTCCAATACCAAACAAATATAAATGCCCACAAAACCAAGGGTAACACTTTTATGACACTGTACCACAACGCTGACAATACAACAATAGTGTGTCATGTGCAGGTTGACACTGTTCAATATTGGCTCTGCTACAGGCTTCATGTGACTGACTGTAATTACGTTGAAGTATACTTGTTATTTATTTGATATGTTGATATTAGTGGTAATGGTCAGGATCTAACACAGAACCCTTTGAAAACATAGCTTCTATGTGAATAAGTGCATCATTGCTAGAAAACGATAACCAGTCACCTGAATCTAGGAACGTAGTTAGTCAGCCCCCAAGATGTAGTATGTATTAAATAGTGTATCATACAAATAAACTGCAGTGTATCAAATCAACCACCGTCAGAGACTTTTAGAATATCCTGCATAGTCTGCTAGCCTCAGATGTTCATTTACAGCTCCAGTATCTTTCATCATCACAATTTTATATAACCTTATTTCAGTACAGAAAAGTTATGTTTTTCTTTTTAATATTTGAAGATAAGAATACAACTTTGAGAAATTATGTACATACAAAAACCTACAGAGAAATTAAACATAATGTAAATTAAAAACAAAAATATACTAACAATTCAACTTTGTCTTCCTCAGCCCTTCTTCAAACATAGGACCCATGCATAAAGCTACGGTTTTCCATAACGGAAAATTTCATGTGTGGTGCAGGATGTAATATTACTTCATATATGATCAGGAGATGAAATTTTTGATATTTAAGAAGTGTATGAAGTACTGTTATTGCATAAACTTGTCTTTTGAGCAAAATTACTGAGCTGAATGGACAATAAAATAAATTTGAAGCCAAGTCTGAAAGTACTAACACAGCAGACAGCATGAAATATGAAACAACACACTACT